GAGAATGGATGATTGTGTGTTTCTCCACATTTTATAGTTGAGCCTGATAATAAATAGAGCATTTGGAAATTCAACTTGGACTTCAGTGGGACGGTGAGTAATGATGGAATAGATTGGTGTGACATCCGTTATTTTTTAGCATCAGGTTAGCACCTTTATAGGGATTGTATATTTAGAATTATATTTTATTAGGATCTAGTCATGTTGATTAGAATTCGTCTGGCTTAGTTCCCAAAGTATAGTCCAGAGAACCTTGTTTCGACGAGTAACTGGTAAAATTAACATATGTAATGCCAAATATATTAAAAATGCTCCAAATAAAATAAAGTTGATATTGTAAAATCCAAATTTAAAAATATAAAAGTCTCATTTGAATGTCCAAATAATTTTATCAAAAAGATGGAGCTTTGATTTATTAAGGTTATTTTTAATAATGTTTGGCAAATAATATTTTTGGGTTATAATGGGCTTATTCTTGTTTAAAAGAAAAATAAAAGTTTTTATTGGGTTTGGGCCTTTAGAGGCCAGCCCATTTTATTCTTTAAAATCCTCATATAAATACCCCACCTCATTTGAAACTCTCATTTCCAATTATCATATTTGCTTAAAACTTTCCTCTCCCTAATCTCGATCCCTCTCTAAATCAAACCCCCCTCCAGCCGATTCCATCCTCAAAGTACCTTTAGGAAATCTGTCAATCTTGAAGAATATTCAAGATTTCAAGAAAAATGTATTATACTAGTTATCTTACCTATATAAAATATCAAAAATTCCTATTTATTCTACTCCTACTTCTTGTTCTTGTAATTAAAGTTTCTGGAGATCTCAAAAGGAGAGATTATACATCCAAGACATGAAAATGTCTTCAAATGATGGTAATCTATGAACCACAAACTTTGAACTCTAAGAAAGTAGGAGAAAACCCATTGCATGTAGAATTTAATCATGAAAAGATGTATTTTGAAATCTGGCAGAATCTTGCATGCATCTCAAATCGGTTTTATCTTCTTCAAAAACTCAATGGAATTGGGTAATTCTTTTTCTGGAGGTTAGCCTTATTTGTTTGCTTTAAAATAGAATTAAAATCTCTGAAAAATGATGAGTTTAGGCCCCTTAAATGGCCGTCACTCGAAGAGTGTGCAATCTATTTTGGGAGCTGTGTTACTCAAGGTTGTAGGGTATTAATGAGTGCCTTAAACCCATCCAAAATTCTTGATATTTGGGAAAAATCTGCTTAACTCATTATTTTGGTTAATATAAAAAGTTGGACATAAAATGACTTTTGGAAGGTTCCTTTTTATAGTGATTTGTGGGACCAAAAATTATCAGAAACATAATTTATATTCTGTCCCAAATATCAGCTTTTGTGCAAGGTCTTTGATTTTAAAAATATATAATTTATGGGCTATTTTTTTAGAACAAATCATAAGAGTATCAACTTTAATTCTTAAAAAAAAATCCGTTGGCATTACATAAGATATAATTTGACTTTATCCTTATCGAGACTCGTTAGGTGATTTAATTATTGGATTTTGGACTGTTGAGGAAGGTTAGGGCGGACGTTGAGCGCATCAAACGTAATCTCCTCGGATATTCATCGTCTAACCTGTGAGTTTTCACGACCCACTTTTAATGTTTTTTGTTTATTTAAACTGGGGGAAAAGCATGAAGTTATGCAAACTATACTGTTATTTATCAAACTGTTGGACTAAAGAACT